TTTCAAAATTGAAACCCGGTGCGGGTGTTTTTATATCACTGTATTTCTGAAGGAAACCAACTGTCTTCAGAAAATTTTGGATGTTATTTTCATCTCTTCTTGCATGTAATGTCTGATAAAGCAGTGTTTGTGAGCGAAGCCAAAGTCCTTTTAAGTATTCTAGTCATTGGCGGAGCGCTGCTTTGTGTACAGCCGTTACCGGGGAAACCTCAATATCTACCACTCCAACAGCGCCTCCTGCTGGCAGATAATTAATTTGCATATATATGCCGCCACAAATAGAGTGCAAGTCTGGGGGAAACACTGCTTCTGTTATGAATATTATTCAATATTTTAATTTGAATGTCGGATTGAAATGAACCACTGTTATTATAGTAGTTAATCGTTAGCATAAGCGTGGTTAATGCTAATATAATGAGCATTAGAATGAAGTTTATTTATGAACTATTTAATTCTCCTATAACTTTTATTAGGGTAAAAAAAACAGGAGGACATGATGATATTTACTATTTTTACACACCAGAGGCTTTTAAATGAGTAGTGAATCTAAAATATGCGTGTTAGAGAATGTACAAATGGTTAACATTGTTTGCGTCATCAGTCAGAAAAGCAGTTCTGGGCTTTTATTAATTTATTTTAGCTAACTTAGTTGTTATTCTTGGCTGAATAACTCTAGAAGGTCTTAAAAGCCCTTTAAAATTAAATATGTACACAGTTTGGATTAAATGAACGTAGTCTCATTTTTGTAATTAGCATGTTTTTGTGTTTTGCTTTGGTGGATAAATAAGATAAATAACATCTGGTAAAGCGACTACCAATGAAAACTAGCCGTTGAGCTAATTTGGGTTTCGTGAATGTCGTGAATGTTGATTAATGTACATCGTCCGTTTTTTGGAACGAAATAAATAAAATGGAAAAAAGCTGCATGTTTCATTGTATCAAAGATATAATCGTGTATCTATTGTTTTTTTTTTCTCACTTTTTTTCTGTTATTTTCAAACTGCCTTGCAAACAAATAAAAGCATACTATTTACTTTCGAGCAAATACAGATCTGAGCACGAAATGTAGTATGTAACTGCATGGTTGATAGACGATTGCATAACGTATAAAAACACACAATATGCAGACTTCTGGAGAATAAATACACAAGTTTATAACAATATACTGTCAAATACCTTCTCATTTTCAGGAGGTTGAATCTTCAGGTCTTTGCTCGATTTGGTTCTTGCAGCAGTTTCCATATTCTGAGTTTAAACAACGACATATTATTGGAATACATATAATAAACGCATCACAACAAAACACCTCAATCACATCATTAACTAAAGTACACATTCAGTCCAATAAAGAACTAATATAACGAGTGAGGCCTGACGCACGACGGCACCCGTTCACACTAACGATTCCATCAAAACGCATGCTGAAAACTCAAATCTATTTAAAACAACGAACCTTTTCAAATGAAAACCTTTAAAGAAATGAATGTCAATAATACAGCGTTTAGTCGTCAGTAACGTCCACGACACAAATCCGACAGAAACGCGATGATTTCCAGCTCGCTGTGTTAATAACCTGTAACCATTCGCTAAACCAGCCGTGTGTGCTATTTAATATTGAGAAAAATCATTAATATAGATTAATTTATGTTTAATCCTGGAGAGGACGAAGCGACTCTCCTCAGCGCCTGCGATTCTGGCCCGTTTAATTTCAAATATCCCACTTTTAAATACCTTTAAATATTATCTGATTTTGATTGGTCAGATGGAGCTGTAAACTGGAATCCTATTGGTTGCTGGAGAATTCGTCATGTGACGCAAGCGAAGCCGTGAAAACGCATCGTTGTAGAGCGGGAATGACCAGTAGGTGGCGCGAAAGGTCATCACACACATTACAGAATATATTATATTATATTTTATACTCTATAGTATATTACTCTATATACGCCTGAAGACAAACTCACACTAGATTCAGGGGCGTGAGCCAAAAGTACATGTTGCACTATATTATATTAAAATATATTACATTTAAAATTAAATATTTAAATGTAATTTTTTAAATCACATTCACTTTTTTATATTTCAATGCAAAAATAACTAAAAAATGTTAAAACAAAAATATACATTTATTTCAAAGGCATATTTCTATTTTTTCCACACACACACACACACACACACATATATATATATATATTCATTAAATTCAAATTTTTTGTATTTTACATTTTTTGTATAGCGCTTTTCACAATACATTGTTTCAAAGCAGCTTTACAGAAAATGCACGAGTACATAATTCAGTGATCTGTTATCAGAAGTGAATGTGTCAAAGTAATGTTCATTTCACAAATTAACAGTTCAAGACAATAGAATCAAAGTTAGCTAACATTAAATTAATTTCAGGCAGAAGCTCGTTGTATATATATATATATATGTGAAAAAAAATTGAAATAGGAATATATATATATATATATATATTATACACTGCCATTCAAAAGTTTGGGATCCGTAAGAATTTCCATGTTTTTGAAAGAAGTCTCTTCTGCTCATCAAGGCTGCATTTATTTGATCAAAATACAGGAAAAAAAACAGTAAAATTGTGAAATATTATTAGAATGTAAAACAGCTGTTTTCTATGTGAATATCTGTTAAACTGTAATGTATTTCTGTGATGCGCAGCTGTATTTTCAGCATCATTACTCCAGTCTTCAGTGTCACATGATCTTCAGAAATCAGTATAATATGCTGATTTATTATCAGTGTTGGAAAGTTTTTGCTGCTTCATATTGTTTTGGAACCGGTGATACTTTTTTCAAGATTCTTTGATGAATAAAAAGAAAAAAAAAAAAAAGAAATCTTTTCTAACAATGTCTTTACTGTCACTTTTGATCAATTTAACACATCTTTGCTGAATAAAAGTATTAATTTCTTTCAAAAATAGAAAGAAAAAAAATCTGCTGACCGCAAATTTATGAGCAGTAGTGTATATTGTTAGAAAAGCTTTCTATTTTAAGTAAATGCTGTTCTTTTTAACTTTTTATTCATCAAAGAATCCTGAAAAATGCATCACAGGTTACAAAACAATATGAAGCAGTGTTCATACATTGTTATAAAGTACTTTTTTTTCTTTTTATTGGAATTATTTAGATCAAACATAATTCAGAAGGACTGGTTTTTGCTGAAAGAAGCTGCATGTTTCATTCTGTCATCAAAGAAATTATTTTATTTATTCAACTAATTCTACCACCCAGAAATCTCTCACAACTTTTTTCCTCTCATTTTTTACACCACTTCATATAGTTATTTAATAAAATAGGACAAAATTAGTTTGACCAGAACTGATTCATAATACATTTAACCATTTAATAATATGACCCTATTCAGGTCGTTTAAATGCAGTCGTTTTATTTGAGTTCGTCACAATATTCAAACTGAAGTAAACCAAACATACAGAAGATCTTCGATGCCATTTCAGCCGAGAAGGAAAAACACAAGCCTCTGTAAAAGCTGGACAGGTTTCTGTGCTGAAGCATCTTCACCGTCACGTTCACTACTAAACACATCTGCAGATCTGAAGAGCTTCAGGTTTAGTGCCGCTCTCCAGTCGCTGATGATGAAGAAGCTGTGATTTGTGGATGCATTAAATAACATTAAACTACAAAATATAAATAAATAAATAGAATGTATTTCACCCTCCTCAAAAACGCACATTTCACCTCACGTCTGGATCCAACGTCCCATCAGGCCTCCTTTTCACTTACAGTCACAGCAAGTGCACACGTGTTCACTACTGAGGGAAGGAGATGTTTAACAGTACACGGAGCATGCTTGATGATGACGGTCATGTGACGTTCTGTCGGTTCGTTCACCATCATTCCTTCAGTGCTCAGTGTCGTTTTCTAATGAGTTCAGGTTCTGAAGAATCCACTGAAAATCCACGATGGTCCTCTTCAAAGCAAGTCTGGAATAGTTTGTTCCCTTCCTTGATGCTTCGATTAAGTGTTACTAGTAAAAAAACTTTTTAAGTGTGTGAGTGCTGGTGAAGCGTGAGAGTCGTTTGTAACAGAGCTGAATGGTTTGGCATACGTTCCTCTTCCGTCATTACATCAGAGAGCATGTGTGTGTCCCGTTATACTAATTCATTAAAACTAGGTTTGAGTTTGTCGGTCGATGTTAAAGCTCAGCGCCGCCAGACGTCCCCGTCAGCCTCTAATGTAGACGCTTGAATGCGCAGGACGCCGAGAACGATCTTCCACCGCGTGGAGAAGAGCGGCGACAGAGAGGAAGGTGGTCATTTCTCGGTGACGGCGGCGGCGGCCATAGGTGTCCTCAGGGTTCCTCTGGCTGTGATGGCGAGCTCCTCGATCTCTGTGTTCAGACGTCTGATCACCCACTCCATCGCCTCGCGACCCTGCGGACGGACACTCACAATCAGACTGAGCGGGTCATCTTTTTAACCAATGAACATCCGATATCAGTCCAGTTGTTTGTGATAAACTGGGTGAATTAAAACTCATTTGGACCAATTCGTGAACCATTTGACCTATGAAAAATACTGACACAATTGAATCAATTAATCATATATCACATCTAACTAGTGGGCAAGTGATATATCACCCAATATGTGACCCTGGAGCACAAAACCAGTCACAAGGATACATTTTTTTGAAATTGAGATTTATGCATCATCTGAAAGCTGAATAAATAATATTTCCATTGATGTATGGTTTGTTAGGATAGGACAATATTTGGCTGAGATACAACTATTTGAAAATCTGGAATCTGAGGGTGCAAAAAAATCTAAATATTGAGAAAATCATCTTTAAAGTTGTTCAAATGAAGTTCTTAGCAATGCATATTACTAATCAAAAATTAAGTTTTGATATATTTACGGTAGGAAATTTACAAGATATCTTCATGGAACATGATCTTTACTTAATATCCTAATGATTTTTGGCATAAAAGAAAAATCTATAATTTTGACCCATACAATGTATTGTTGGCTATTGCTACAAATATACCCCAGCGACTTAAGACTGCTCACAGATTAAACTTTTTTTTTTATTGTTGGCTATTGCTACAAATATACCCCAGCGACTTAACACTGCTCACAGATTAAACTTTTTTTTTTTATTAAAGTATCTCAATTATTAGTAATAATAACCTTGTCTTATTCAAGAAAATATTATTCCCAGTGATTTATCGGATTACTACCAGATTTTTAACAATGACTTTATTCGTGAAAAATATTGTAATAAGATTAGAAAATCAGTTTCAATATAAAGTATAAATATGATTATTTTATAACTTATTTTTTATCAATTTCATTTTCAAATTATTTGTTTACAGTTTAGTAAATAAATATAATAATCAATTCAGCAATTTTGCACGTGTCTTAAAAAATTGAATAGTGTGATATCATATTTATATTGAATATTTAAAAATATTTAATAAGAATATTGGTTGACCACTGAGCAATGAAGCTGATGAAACATTTTAGAGCCAAGAAAAACTATAAAAGAGAGAAATGCATATTCACTGATGAAATGTGCATCACTTTGAGGTCAAGAACCTTCTCTGATGTGTCCAGGTTTTGATGTGAAATGATTATTTACAAATTCGTCCTTCACTTTCTAAAGTCGGGGCAGAACGGTCAGTGATTGGTGAAGCGTGTTCTGGCTTGCTGACCTTTCCTGCATTGCTTGAGATGCTGGAGGCCATGAGTCCCTCCAGATAGCTGCTGAGACTGACGCCCTTCACAGAGATGATGGCCTCCTGCGTCAGCATGGTCCTGCAGGAACATCAGCAACATTACACCACAGACACCAGCAAGAACCTCAAACTCATGTGGCTGACAGTAGCTGATGAGCTCGTTAAACACAATCAGATCAGAAAAGGTGAGGAATCATACTTCTCCGGGTCCTCTGGGTGCGGTCGGTAAACGAGCCGCTCGTCCACAGACACCATGTTAGTGAAGGTGATCTACGGTGAGAAAACCAGAGCATGATGGGTATGACACATTCTCAGAGTATGCTGTTTATAACCATAACAGAAACTAAACGCCCTCCCAGTCCTTCCTAGACAGGCCTTCAATCACACATCACACAAACTCAATGTTCTCGCTTTATGAGACTATAATGCTATATGAAGGCCAGAGGATGAAGAACATGGATGTGTGAGAGAAGGAGCGCTGACAGACCAGACAGAAAACCAGAAACTCTGTCAGACTGACATTAAATGAATCAGACGGCACGAGTGATGATGAATGCAATGCGCTGATGTGGGTACAGCACGTGTCCCGACTAGGGGTGTGCGATATATATCATCTGCGATAATATCGTAATTGTTGTTTTAACGATGTGCGATTTGACATTATCGAGTATTTTGCAAAAACCATTCAAAACATCCCTACAGAGCGCACGCATACATTACGTGAAGTCTAGACTAGTGCGTGTGCGCATTTAGTCTGTTTTCTTTCACTGCATGATTCAGTCTATTAAAATGCATTTAGAATGATCACAAATTCAAGACATGATGGCAGAAAATGTATATATTTATACCACTTCATATAGTTATTCAATTTCATACAAAGAGTGCCGTTTTTCTCCAAAAATTACCATGATTACAAATGTGACATTGAATTCAATAAACAATAAGTTAATTAAGAGACTTACGTTTTAGACACCATATTGCTTGTTTTTGCTCTTTTTCGCCAACAAAAATCATCCAGAATACAGCCACAGCGCTGTTTTGTGTCTCTGAGCAACATGACGGTGTTTCGTTCTTGAATGAATCAACCGTTTAAATGATTCGGTTCAATCGCAATGACTCAATTATCGTCATCGATAAAATCCCAGAAAATATCGAGATATTATTTTTTGTCAATATCGCACACCCCTAGTCCCGACACGTGTTTCACGTAATAAATGAGATCACTTACATTAGTGGACTGAAGCTCAAAGGTTTTCTCTTTGGGATCGACTACGGAGTGCTCCTGGATGTACGTACATGTCCGCGCGTTGCCAATGATCTGTGGAAAAACAAAACAACAGCTTGATGAATAAATCATTTATTAATAACCACTATTGAACAGCACAAACAGACAAAGGAATCTGAAGTCATGTACTGTTTTGGCTTTAGTTTCAGTCAGTGTAATAAGCCTCAGAACAGAACAAGATTAACTATAATTAACCCAGCAACATTACCTTGACCTATACTAGTACTGCTTCTATTTACAGATCATTACTCAAAGCCTGAAGAGCCGTCATGTGAACATGGTTCAGATCTCACTCATTTCTCAAAAAGACGCCACTATGGTGATCGTTTCCAACAACAAGACCACTCTAAAGTAATGAAACGGAGCAGTGAGTTCATTTACAGGCTGGATGGGTTTGATTCTTTAAACACTTTCAGAGACTTATTATGGCAAACATCAATCCAGTATGTTGAGGGAAAAGAAACGGTAAACTCAAAGACTTGATCGCAAACACACTTGATTCGTTCTCTTTAATATCTGCTCAGATGTCTTTGCTCTCTTGGAGTCATTAGTGTTTAAAGAGTGTTTGTTTGTAACATTGAAACATGCATTTTATGTGGAGCTGCTTGTACTGTGTAAAGTGGTAAATAAATAAACTTGAAGGCTTGGAATTCAGAATCTCATGAACCGGATTTTCACCATTCCTCATTATTGTGGAGGTAGTAAAGCGCTAATAACAAACTGACATGAGCTCTAGGACTCATACTGGAAAGTTTTGGTCCCATAATAACCTCCGACAGTTCTTGAGCAGAATGAATGTGGCAGGTCAAGGGTGACAGGATGACATTCTGACTCACGTCACAGCGGGACACTTCATTCAGAAACGAGACACCAGGACGACATGTGCTGAGGACTAACCAGACCGATATAACCACTCAGTGACGGACTGAAGCTACAACCGCTGTGAATCAGGGCAGGAATAGCTGAAGTCTTCCCATAGCTGGGATATGAACATCTCAAACCAGCATCTCAAACAAATAATCAGATCAGTCTGTGTTATGTAGAAGAGAAGCAGGAGTCAGTACCGATCTAACGATGGACGGCAGGCCCCATTCGGTGCTGAGAAGCCGCTTGCTGTGCAGTCGTCCCCGCTGGTCCACGTTACGGTCCAACACGTCCACGCCAAACACGCTGGGGTTCATGGGGTTTGGGTACTTCTGCATGGCAGCTTTGGTCACGGTTTCCCACGGATGGCTGTGAGAGACACAAACAGAAACTTTAGCATTGCAGGAGCATAAAACACTGTGGACATTCAGGGTCTTTAATCAGAGCCGAAGCGCAATATGACAGTGTGAGACGGAGTTACATAATGCACAGAAACCGAACAGTATTTATATCATTTTTTACCTCTAATACACCACTATGTCCAACTGTCTTTGGGCGCGCAGGCATCCGGTGTGTGAGGTGTGTACGCGCTCTGGCGTAGTTGGAAATTGCGGTGAATCAGAGGTAAAATATGATATAAATACTGTTCGGTTTCTGGCACAAACCGATCGTTTCATGTCTTAGGACATCAATGTGTAGTAACGAGCATGTTTTTTTTACTCTCATAGATTTTGTTACCATTGCCATGCATTATACGACTGATAGAATGCAACGGTTAAAGTTAAAAATCATCATATGTGTTCTACTGCTCTCAAATTATCATCCCTCCATCACTTGAGGGTCAAGAACGACTGATCTTTGTGGTTGTTCTTACTTTTTAAAATGTTATTGTGAGCCACAAACGTGAGCGAGAGCGAGTCTCCATCAACACAGGCTCGTTTCCATGACAACATCAGATGCTGCTTAATTGGCATGTGGGTGTTAATTCCTGCATTCATAGGGGTTATTAATTACATTTTGTCTTATGTTGATGATTCAGCCGCCTCACATTTATAAATAAAAACACAACACAATCTATCCTGAAATATAGTTTATAAAGTCTAATGCTCTACACCATACAACATCATATTCCACAGAAACCTGCTGTACTCTATTAGACACACTGATAAAACTAGTGTAGAAACAATTTTCACTCACAAATTGCTTGTAAATTTCGCTAATAATGACAAAACTGTGACACTTTGAAATACTGGACATTTTTAAGTAGAAAGACTAAAATAGTATTTTCTTGTTGAACATACTCCAATAATCTTTATTTACAACTTTGAAATTTTTTTTTTGCATGACTTACACTTTACCTATTCTGTTGTATATTCCTCTTCATTTTCAATTTCTTGCATATGTTTTATTTTCTCTACTGTCTGTATACTGAAAATGGTAATAATCATTCAAATGAAGCTATATTGATTTCCCCAACAATATGCCAAACTATAAATGCATGAAGCAACATATTACATCATTTTCATGGAACAAACACTCATTTTGACTGCATACACGACCTCTGACATTAACATATTAAATAAATACGGGAATATTTCTCCTCCCATTCAAAAGTCAATAACTCAGTTTACTGATGCGGTCCTCATCATGCATGATTTTATGGTTAGTTTATATTATATGAATAAATGTATATTATATAATCATTATTATTATTATTTCTTCATAATAATAATATCCTTATGCTTTTGCAGAAAGCTTTTTTCATACAAAATTGATGAACAGCATTTTAACGAACTGAACCTTTTCTTGTGCTGATTTTGATCTAATGTGAAAGTATCAAAAGAACTGAAGGCTGTTTCTGAATTTCTCTCCTCTCCTCCAGACACACACTTTCAGCTCATAATCTCAGACAGCAGAATCAGAGAAATATGAAACGAATCTCTCTATCCTGCAGTCTAGACGCTGTTTTTCCAGCAGCGTGATGCATTTGTTCAGTCAGTAGCACTCAAGTCACATCATGCGCCGCTTCATTGTTATTGCTCTCAGAACACTTCATTTGGGTCAGATGACTGAGAGACCAGACAGAGAGAGAGAGTGTGTGTGTGTGTGTGTGTGTGTGTGTGGCTCATTATCAGTCCTGCGTGATTCCAAATGGACTGATGTCTCTCTATGTCTGCCCTCGTCTCTCTCCCTCGTTTTCTCTTCCACAATGTTTATGCTCTTTTCTCATTTCTTGTCTCTGTTTCCTCCATCTCTCTCTTCACACGTCTTCCTCTCAGTTTGAGTCTCTCTCTCACACACACACACACATACACACACAGACACACTCACACACACACACACACACACACTCACTCACACAGATCCAGGTGGTTTGTGTCTCTGATGCAGCTAAAAATACAGCTGAAGACAGACACAGGAGGAGAGACTCCCTCTGAATGATCCAGACATCATGAAATGAAGTGGCAGTTGTTCTGTCTCGACTCTCAGGTGTTTGACGCTCATGTCTAGACAACTGATTACAGCAAATGAGAGGCAGACAGACACAATAACGCAGAGAGAGAAAGAGAGAGAGATGTCTGAATACTGGAGCTCATCCTTGAGCTGTAGTGAAACTCCACATGAGTGTCAAATGAGCAAAATCATATTTCAAAATCATGGAAAATGTCAATATTTTAGTCATGTTTGGTTATCTGTGTTTACAGTTTTATCTTGATTGCTAACAAACAATTCACCATTTTATCACAACTATAAACACAATTTCAAAACTACACACAGACTTCAGATATTCAAATATTTTAGTCAAAAACTTATTCTCTTTTATCAGAATCTAAACTTTGGCCTCAGATGACACACAGACCTGTCAAATACACAGACTACTGCACAGCCTAGAGAACACTAGTGAGATCAGTTCAAAACACTGTTACAAAAACCTCCTTTTGGGGAATCAGGAATCATTTTGCTAGTCAATATCTGTTACAGTATGCAGCATAAATAGAGCGGTGCAGATACAGTCAAAGTTAGCAATAAGTTTTAAGAAACGTTTACTTTCATTACACTACTGTAAAGAGATCTTACAGTAGATGAAAAGGTCAAATATCAAAGAATTGAATATGAACACAAAATAGAATATACTGTCAGTTACTGTACAGCAGTAGATAAATAAATAATTATTAGTCTTCTGACAAAAGACTTTCTCTGCCTCCCCGAGACAGTCATCTCTCAGTTCTGCAAAAATACAGTACAAATCAATTCAACAGTTACGAGTTTGAGGGTGTACAATTTTTGTATATGAATATATATACATTTAACCTTTCAATATCTGCAGCAGGTACAAAACAGAGTAAAATATTAAATACATCCCATACGGAAATGTAATGACATACTGTATATCTCTCTATATCAAGAGTGATTGTTATCTATAAGGCTATATATAATTTTCACATACATACATTCTCTGGGAAGATGAAGATATGAGTTTATAACATATATAAAATTCCCATAGTAAAATTTGTATGTGTGCACATGATTTTTTATATGGTATCATATGTAGCAACCATATGTCAACAATGTATATTTCATTTATATATGCAACTTTATTAAAACAACATATCTGTATGTTTATATATATATATATATATATATATATTTGTAATACGTTTTTAAAATACATCTCTACCGTTTATATTTACTTATATAATATCAACGTTTTGACAGGTTTCAGAATGGATATACATGACATATATGTCCAAAAATGTATTACACATACATAAACATACATATTTGTATATACGTTAATATATTAAATTGTTCCAATTTCTAATGTTTTTACTTCATATGACAATATATTTCACTTATGGATATTTAATATATGTACGTACAGTATATAACATTCGAATATGGGGTTTTATAAACGTTCTATCCAGTACTGCGTTCATCTCAGTAATGCTGAGCTCTTCTGCTCTATTTCTGGATCAAACGGATTAAGACAGAGAGGAAACTGTTGCTCAACGGAGTTTTGCTTTCTAACATCATGTGAGCATCCAGCCGTATGAATCATCGTCTCTAAAGGTCTCAGACAGATTATGTTATCAGAGACCCAGAGTCTGATCAGGACACAGAAGAGCTGAAGATGATCAGCAAAGAGAAAAACTTGCTTAAATAGTGTTGTGTGAGCAATGAGCGACTGTAATGAGCGCTGGTGTGAAAGACACAGAGAGAGAGACAGAGTGTTCATTCGGAGTGTGTTTTATGCTGCTGCAGTAGAGCGTCAGAACACACACACACACACACACACACACCCACACAGACACACACACACACACACACACACACACACACACACACACACACACACACTCCTGTGGCCCATAAAGCCACGCTGATACCTCAGACTCAAGTTTATATGTTTCAGTCACTGTTGCCTGATGCATTTGCCATTCCACGATTGCAGCTGTCTAGTCAACGTACCTGTAGAATGTGACTGTCCACAGAGATGCGAGAGGAGGCCTCAAAAAGTGTGTGTGTGTGTGTGTGTGTGAGTGCGTGCGTGCGTGAGTGTGTGAGCATGTGTGTGTGTGTGCGTGAGTGTGTGTGTGTGTCTGTGTGTGTGTGTGTGTGTTTATATATAGAAATTAGATGCAGTTTTTAAGATATAAACTGTTATGCGAGGAGAAAAAAAGTGCAATTTATCACTCAATTACTGTTCTTAACAAGCTGCTTCATGACATTTAGAACACTTCTAATATCAATTTTGTATGATAGTGAATATAATTGCTAAAATAAAGACTTTTATATCTTTCTCTGCAACAGTATAAAAAAATAAATCAATCAATCCAATAATTACAACTTTTTATCTCACTATTCTGACCTTGTTTCTCACAAGGTCATGGGTTCGATTCCCAAGGAATTCATGAACTGATCAGTTGTATTACTTTGAATGCAATGTAAGTCACCTTGAATAAAAGCGTCTGCAAAATGCATAAAAGTAAATGTTATGTCATGACACGCTGCAGACTGCATCAGTACTGCGCTCCGGGTCACTGAGAGCCTGACAGAGGTCAGATTGTGACGGCAGACGGACACACCTTTCACGAGGTTGCTCTGACACGCTAAACAAACTACTGACCAAACTATATTTAACTATTCTAATGTGTTAAGAAGCTCGTACAGGTGTGGCCATCAGCTTCTGCAAACACACCGGAACTGTTTGCATTACTTATCTGTGCAGAATAATGACATTTAGTATTAGTCTGGGGCACTGGTTTTAGTTTAATGTTTTTAGGTAAACTTTGATTAAATATGTCTAAGTTTATGTGCACACATTTTACCATAACAGGAATTAAAGGAATAGTTCACCGAGAAATGAAAATGCGCTGAAAATGTCCTCACGGTCAGGTGTGAATCAGGAGAGAAATCTGCACAGATCAAGCAGCGTTTAAACAGCTCTAAACACATATGTGGCTGGATTCTGATGTGAGAGACAACAGCAGATGCACTTTTTCACTGGAGGAAGAGTTATTATGGATTATGGACTCGTATAAAAACGTCTTAATGCTGGATTAGTTTCAGCTTTTGTCTTCTTCAGATGTTCACTGATGGACTGGAGTGCTGTGGATTATTGTGATGTTTTTATCAGCTGTTTGGACTCTCATTCTGACGGCACCCATTCACTGCAGAGCATCCATTGCTGAGACACTGATGCAATGCTACATTTCTACAAACCTGATGAAGAAACAAACTCATCTACATATTAGATGGCCCTAGGGTGAGCACATTGTCATTTTTTGGCTGAACTATGCCTAGAAATTGCGTTTTTGGCCAGAGGAGGGCGCTTATTCTCTCAAATGGAGCTCAGAGGAGTCAGTCTGTCAGGAGCACAATGACACTGCGACACTCACACTGAACATATGAATCATGCTAATATTTCACAATGCAACACATTTTAATTTCTAATTCTAATTAAAATTTCAAGTTAGAGGGCACTGA